AGAGCGGTGGACTGTAGCGTTAAAACACAGGAATCCATAGGTCGCTGGTTCAAATCCGGCCCGGAGGATCTCAATATTAAATAGTATTTAGAAATAAAAAGTGAGTACTCACATTGTGAAAAGAAGGAAGATTTGGGAGTAGTCACTCCTCTTTTAGCTCAGTTGGTGGAGCCGTGTACTGTAGCATTAAAACACAGGAATTCATAGGTCGCTGGTTCAAATCCGGCCCGGAGGAATTCAATTATAAATATTATTTAGAAATAATAAAAAGGGAGTACTCACATTATGAAAAGTAGGAAGATTTGGAAGAAGCAACACCTCTGGTAGCTCAGTTGGTAGAGCGGTGGACTGTAGCGTTACGACACAGGAATCCATAGGTCGCTGGTTCAAATCCGGCCCGGAGGAATTTAATTTCTAATATTATTTAGAAATATTAAAAACTTAGTACTCACATTGTGAAAAGTAGGAAGATTTAGAAAAGGCGCGTCCTTTGCTCAGTTGGTAGAGGGATGAACTGTTGCGGTGTTATGCAATTTTAGATATTATGAAATGGTGTATTGTCATTGTGCAAGGTATGGTGAGACAGAAGCATCAGATCCACCGGTAGCTACGTTGGCATGGCGGTTGTCTCTAGCGAAACGTAAAAGGAATTTTGTATCGATGTTTGAATCCGACCTGGCGTAATCAAATTTGAATATAATCTATAATTAGGAAACGAGGTACTTATATTTTATATTAATTTTACATAAAGTGTCTGAACTTTTCTTTTCTCAGCAGGTAAAGCTTTGGGAATTGGATAGATTATTTGTCAAATCCGGAAGGGTGGAATGCAATTTTTTTTAATTTTACAGTACTAAAAGTGTGTAGAATATTCTGGTGTGTGCAGCTTTTTTTGATTTTTTTACTTGCTGTCTGAATGAAATATAATTTTATATTTTTAGAAATAAACAATAGCATTCTAAATTAGTAATATTAGTGATTAGTGATTGATGATGTGGTATTCATATCTGTATAAGAATACACAATTTTGTCTGGAAAGTTATTAGGATGTGAATATTACGATGTAAAAAACCATCAAATTGAAGAGTTTATAACCCATAAAATTGTGTATTTTTATTATTAAACTTTGGAAGTATTATTGTACTTTTAATCAATTATTTGGTTGCAAAGTGTACTTGCAGTTAATTTTTTAATGTTAATTTCATTTTGAATTCAATATATTTTTATACGATAATTTTATTTTAATTTTTTAATATCATTTTTTTGGTAATGGTATCGAAGTCGACTGAATGAGAATATTTTACACTCATATTTTCCTTTCATTTTTTACCGTTCACTTTTAGCACGTGTGTTTGTACTTTTATTTTTCGATTTCCGTGAATTGAGTTCGTTTAATGTTCTCCTTTCACTATGTCTTCAATTACCATGTCTGTCCATATCCCTCTATACGTAGAAAGTTCATGTATTGGTTTGGAACTGCCATTGTTGAAACGTTGACGTTTGAATGCGCGACGCGACTTTCTCGAGTTGATGTATTCCGAGAATAAATTGTAAACTCAAAGATAGAAAGGGGATGTTGGTGTATTAGAATTTTACAAGATAAAAAGTTAACCTTAATTCGAATTTCTTTCGCTGATTCATTTCGTTCTTTCGCAGAGTGAGTTACACTTACTGAATACTATCGTTTCATCGGGGTGTCTCATCGTGGTGAAAATATGAAAAACGTCATCACATTTTGTGATGATTTAATTAAAATATACGGCGTTGCACTCAAGAGGTTTTTTCTTTGTATAGAGGCAGGGATACACCGGTTCTAGGTGTCCAAGCAAATTGATAAATTGTTATAAAGAATTTTTTCATTTGGGGTAAATATAAAATGTATATTTGTTCACTTATAGTTAGTATTTATCACGTAAACAAATGATACATTTAATAACTTCACTTTGTACAGAAATTTAGTAAAAGCTAATTATTTTAAAATGGTTTAATTTCTTTTGGGGTGGGGGGCTTGAGGAGCCTCATCATCTCTTCCCCCTAGAGCAAGCCGCTGAAAAATATATTTATATTTTAATTTTAAAAAGAATATAAATTATGCGCGGAAATATTTATTCAAACACCACCGCTCATGTATTTGTGGCTAATATATATATATATATATATATATATATATATATATATATATATATTACTCTTTATTCGCTGTCTTATGTAATATTATATGTAGTATAATATGAATGTGTGGAAACCAGAACGGTAAAAGTGACATTTTATAAATTTTAACAACGTAGAAGAGAACTCAGCGAGTCACAAGCGAAAGACACGCAGCGAAAATCACATTAGTGTTATGTTGATGCTTCTTTACAAGGAACGTATAACACTAAAAAAATTTAAGGAAATAGTGGAGAGGTAAACCACTTCATGAACCACATCTAAAAAGAATGGACAAATACATATCAATAAAGGCCTATTATTTTTGAGGTTTAAATGAGAAAAGTGTAGTATCTGAAGCAGAATTAATAGCTGCTCAAGATCAGCTACTGAGATCACGATATCATAAAAAAAGTTCTCAAAAATTACCAGGATGGTAATTGTCGTATTTGCTAGAAACAGAGAGAAACCACTGATCATATAGTCTCAATTTATATAATTCTGCCGACCGTATTTGGTTCAACGCCAGCATCGTCGCTGTCTCTGCAGCGACTCTGACAAGGTTTGAAGACCCGACGGTGCCAGGTTTTTGAATCTATTTACAAAGCTAGGTCTGCAGGAAACGTCCGGTTGCTCCGATAGCGTAGTTTCTCCGGTTAATACCAGGCGAATGCCGGAGAAGTACCCCAAAAACGGACAACTGACCGCGCACGATATTTCCTTCCCTTATCTTACACACATACGCACACACTTATGCACTACACTACTGTGTGTGTTGAAAGACCAAACGGGACTTTAGATCTTGTCCCGGGTGGGAGAGATACCTGGAGGGAGAAATGCTCCGCAGAGCGGGAAGCAAGTCGAGTAGGACGGTGCCAGATATATCCACCAGATGTGTCCAATGAGGGAGGAACTCCCCATCACGCGATGAAACGATCTCAATGACTAATGACAGTATCAGTTGACGACCCGAAAATCAATCAATCCAAATCTAACAACTACGGAATTTCAGAGAATTTTGGTTTTCAGTTAACTTGCTTGGCAGATCTGTAACACCCTCGCATTTCTAAATATACAAACTCTCACCAAAGAGTGTGACGTCTTGAACTGTGTACAATATTCTTTGAAAAATAAATCTATATTGTTCGAGCCACAGAAGCAAAGAAAACATATACACTTTCAAATGTTACTCTAAATAATCTTCGAAATGTTCCCTCTAGTGTTCCCCAAGATGTTCCTTTAAATGTTGCTTCCAATGGTCCCTCAAATAGTTCAAATAGTTCCCTTTAAATAGTTAGAGTAATAGAGTCCCTCAAATAGTTCAGATGTTTCCCTTAATCTTCCTTTCCTGTCCACAGCATGTTTCCGCTCTTGTTAAATTGGAAATTAAACTGGAAATCCGAAAAAAAATTCAAATGTGTTTCTTCAAAAATATTTCTTTGAACAGTCCCTAGTAAAAGTGCTTCTTTCAGGGCATGGATACCGTACTAAAAGTTCAATTTGTAGTATTAGTGATTAAAGGGAGATGATGCTCGAATGTTCAAGTAAAACTGTGAATACAACAAAAAAATCAAAATACGTTCCTTGACTGCATCAGCTATTGCTGATATTAATTTATCATTAAGTGATTTTAATACTTGAAAAAAATAAAATGATTCAGTAAGGAAACAATAGTATATGACTTACATGGTAAAAGTGATTTAATTTTATTAATAGGATTGCGTCACTCAGCCTATCGGCCACAGCCTATCGGTCGCAACCTTTTCTGTTTGCAAAATGAAATGTCAGTTTTACCACTCGTCTCATTAATAACTATTATTAACATTGGAGCGCGGAGAGTGCATTGGCATCCCAGGCGAATAAATCGGACAGTTTTGAATAGCTAGAGTACCCAGAAGTGCGAATACCGCCCAAAATGTAATAGAAGAGCTTTTTTCGCTGTATTTAAATAGAAGAATGTATGTTGTATGCAATAATGTAATTGAAAAAATTTTTAGCAAAAAATTGCAATCAGAAAAAATCAAAAGTTTTAAATACTTCTTGCGATAAATACACTTGGCAACTTCCAGATGAAATAGGTATAAATTTCAACACATTAACAATCCATGAGTGTGAAACAATTTTAATATTGTTTTCTAGAATAAATGCAAGTGGGATGGGCAAAATTTGTTTGTTTAATGTATTTATCAAAAAACCGCCACATATCTTGATCAGGATAGGCAACTTGTAATAACATATAATCGTTTATTCCTTGGCGGTAAAGTGAATTAAAATTATTGAACAGTTCAGTTGTCATTAGGTGTAGTGTTTTACGTAGAAATTTTAACAACACATTTTGTACTACTGAAAAAGAGAAATTTAATAAATAAATGTTCAATATAATTGTATTAAGGAAGTCTACATCAAGTTGTTTTAATCTTACAAAATTTGAGGTTGGTATTAGCTTGCTTTGATGGTCAAGTGGCGCAAAGTTGGATAATATAGAAGTACTATCATATTCTTGAGAATTGTTTAGAATGCTGTGGAGTACTCCGATTTCCCTTCATGAGTAAATGTAAGTTGGAATAGTACATTGTTTGCTAAGAAATTATTGTAAGTACTAAAGTATTTTTTGATTTCTTGCAGTTAGGAAACGAAGTTGTGATTTGATGGAGTTGTATTTCCTTTGGTGAAGTTGTATTTCCTTCTTGGTATTCTCGGTAAGTAGAGCTTGCACTTATTTTATTTGTGTTTATGATTTGTATTGGAGTGTTCTCAATAAAAAAGTAAAATAAGTGTTTTGTTAAAATTCCATGGCTACAGTGGGTTGAGAGTAATATGCCATGTGTTATTGTTTGTGTTAAATTTTATCCTTTTTGTAATTAGATATATTCGAGTTAAAATCAATTGTCCCCATCATGTCAAACCCAGTAGTTAATAGAGTAATTACACAAAATGTTTTTTATGACCAGTATTTGAAACTTGTTATCGGAGACAAATCAGAAGATATGTGTAGACACATTTTATTATTAACTCATTAAAGAGACCCCTTCTAATTGGTCATTTGTATGTAAAACAGTTATGTACCATTGGATGAAAGTAACAAATGGTGACAAGAAAGTTTAAAAGTAGCTAGAATAATTCCTCTCAATTTATTTCTAGAATTTTTGTTACATTTATTTAACGTTCAAAAGCAGAACACTGATATTGTGTGGCAGAAAAGTAATGATAAACTTTATATAATTCACTCTACTAAGAATTGATATTAAGGTTCCTGGTAAGAAATGTAAGGAAATATTAAAAAATAAAAGAACGAAGAAAGTCTATGTTTATATTTATATATGTGTGTGTGTAGTATGTTAAATATTTGCTGGTAAATATTAATGAGACTTCTAGATTGAACAAAACATATTTTATATTAATATATTTGCTTTTATATTTGATACTATATTTATTTTTCATAAACATACTTTATTTTAACACATTATTTTATTTACTAACCATGTAAATTTGTTTTGATTTGAGTTTGTTACTCACTCTCATAAAGATTTTAGGAAGTGTTTTAAGATTTAATTAAAGTTACATCAATTTAATGAGAGAAAAACAGATTTTGAATAACAAAAAATATAAATGTATTTAAAAAAAAGCATAAATTACATCAAAAATAATGACGATAATGAAAATATATATTAATTAATTCCAAGAAGCATATTTAGCATTCATAGTCTTTAGAACTATGAATTCTTGGAAGGTTATATTTGGTGATGAGAATTAATTGTAGAGACAAATATTAAAAGTGTCTGTAATAATCAAAGATACACAATTTTCTCTTTGACAGCATTGTTTTACTTGCTATAGTGAGTGAAACATGAAAACTACTCTTTGAAATAGGATATAATGTAAATTACAGAGTTTAGGAATAACAAAAACTTTCTTTGAAATACCTATATCAAATTTATTTCAGACAAAAGCCATTCTTTGAAGTAACAAATGATTTTCAAAATATTTGTTATTTCTTATTTTATTCTTTTTCATTATGTGTGACAATTATTCGATATCAGTTTGTAAGAAATTAAAACAATTAATTTGTTGTGTGTTACAAAAAACTGTTATTTATTACTTATTAACAGAATCAAGAAAGGTTAAAGTCATGTCGTTATAAAGTTGAAATGGAATTGGTTTATCAATTTTTTTTATCAGCCTCTAAATCCGATATTATGGGATAGTAATATACATTATTATAATATAACTTTCAATGGTGTGTGATAAATTATGAAAAGGTTCTGTGTATCCTTTAAATACTCCTGATGTGCCATTTTCTTTAAAAGAAGTAAAAATTTTCATTTGTCGGAGACATAGAAACATTTTTTTAATTCATTTATTTATTCATTTTTGTTATTGTAACACCATATTTGTGTAGGTTCATGGAGTTACGTGTGCTATCAGGAGAGTATTTAGAAAGTCAGTGATACTAATTTCTTTGCAGCGTACCAACCAGTTGTTATTCTATTGTAAATAAACCGTATTCTACTTGCTATGTATACTACTATGAATATGTTAGCTGTATCCTTTATTCTTCAATTTTATATATCAGATGAAATTTCATGTGGGTAGCTTTTGTGATGAAAGAATATTGTTGTTGGAAAACAAATATTTATTTTTAAATGTTCTTCCTCCAACAGGAAAAGTAAATTCTCAATAACTATTGGTATAAATTACTGTGCTCGGAATGTGAATAATTTGAAGATTTTGACTGAAGTCAATTTCATTCATTCATTTTCGTTAACTTTTTTTGGTATTTGTTAATGACAATAATTAATAAAGTAAGTAGAGTTGGGTGAATATAATGGAATGGCGGTTGATCATGAAGTGGAATGATGGTTTAATAATTAACTTTTTTGCATTAATGAACATACCAATGGTTTATATATCATGGTGAATCTATAGTTCAGTCCACATGTATGGAAACAAAATAATCATTCAATTTTATCAAAGCTGGTGAATGTTGGGGTTCTCTCAACGGGTCACGGACCGCGTACAATCTTACCTTCCTCTTCCTTGCCGTCTCCTCTCCTCTCTTGCACATACAGTACCATACATACTCTTGCACATAAAGATACTGCATGTGAGCCGATGTGAGGGGGGAAGGTGTCGGATGTCCCCAGCGAGGGAGTAACACTGCCACAAACAGACCTACGGAACATTCACTGTACTATTGAGTATTGCAATTGCATTATAAAGCGAATGAAACTGTGGAAGCATGTGCCCAACCTATGTACCGTCGGAGCATCGTACCGTGCTAGGTGATAAGGGGCGTCATCTGATATCACTGCTGGACCTCTGACCCGGAGGTCCTAGGTTTCGTATCCCGACAGAGGTAGGAATTTTGACACTAGTTAGCTAGGTCGAATTTAGGCGCAGTCTGGAGGAGAATTTCAGCGGCTGGTTGTTCTGAACTGTAGTTTTTGCTGGTTTCCCCCTTCAACATTAGGCGAACGCCCGGAGCAGTACCCTAACAAACGGGCTACGGACCACGCGTTTCTTGTTCTAACATCAACCGTTATTTAAATTCGCTTACATGCATTACACTACCACTGCACTTTGTCGGAAAACCACTTGGGTGCTCCGAGCTTGTCCCGCTGCAGGGGGATACCTTGTTAGGGAAAGCCAACCATCCGACGTGTATGTCGGAACCGAATCTCATTACTCAGCGGGGGAAACAATCTCCATGTTAAAAGCATTCATTACACTTACGGATCTAATGACAGCGGTTGTGTGGCCGAAAACAATAATCAATCAGCGGGAACGATGGCGGCACCAAAGGCAGTGATAGTGATGGCGGCGGTGCTCGCAGTTTGGTGATACCTTATTGAAGGAAAACCCTTAAGGCGACCCTGTAAGTCGGCACCGAATCTCACTATCCGGTTTGGGGAAACTATAATGTTAAATCATTCACTACACTTATGGATCTAATGTCAGTAGTTGACGTGACCGCAAACAATAATCAATCAGCGGGAACGATGGCGGCAACAGTGGCAGTGGTAGTGATGGTGGCGGCGGTGCCCGCAGTTGGGTGATACCTTGTAGGAAAACACTTAAGCCGACCATTTAGGTCGGCACCGAATCTCATTATTCAGCTGCGGGGAAACGACGATGTTAAATCATATACTACACTTACGAGTGTAATGGCAGCCGTTGACGTGTCCGGAATCCCGAAATAATCTGTCGGCGGAGCATCGTGACGGGAGCGGTGGTGGTGGCGGCGCAGATGACCGCGAAGGCGTGGCTTGCCGAAGTGCGCCGCGGGGCGGAGGCGGCCGTAGTGAAAGTGCGCGCGATGTGGAGCGTCCGTGGCCGGGCTGGGCGGGACGGGGCGGGCGGACGTCTGCAGTGAAAGGGCCGCCAGCCAGCGACCGAAGCGGCGGCGGCGGCGGCCAGTGCATTGTCCTCCGGGCGGACGCCCCCAGCCACCACTCGCTGTAGACGCAGAGCGGCGAGGCGCGGCGCGGCGCCCAGCAGGAAACGAACGCACCGGGCGAGTAACAGCCCACGGACGGCGACGAGTCACCGGGCGACGCTTCGGAAAGGCCCATTCACAATGCAAACATAAACATACGCACGGCGTTGACATAAAAGATAGGACAACGTCCATAAGCCGACCCGCTCACAATACGTTTGCGTAAGAGGTTAACTTAAACGCTTCTGAGCTTGTTTTTAAGTCATAAGAAATGAATCCAAAACAGTGCAGTAACTAAAATTCGATATTCGAAATTAGAGCAAAGTCCTAAAGTCCTATGAGAAAGCATCAAAAAGCAAATAAATGACCGAAGCGAGAGCCACTAGCTTAGAAACAGGCCAACGTATAATAACCTTCAATGACTCGAGCGTGGATCGTTTCCGAACCATTGACACCTATGTAAAATAGACCGCAGGTTTCGGATCAATAGGTCACCTACGGAAGGTAAAATCTCCGCTGCAGGGAAAAGTTATCAAACAATGAATACAAATTTCAATTTATTGGCCAAACACATCATTATTAAATTACGTATATAAATAAGCAATAACAAACCCTGATGTCCTTCGTGTCTACCCGGACCGGCCCGCCCCTGCAATAGCAAACGATTTTTTTTCCTTCTTTAAAAGAAGGGCATGCATCGGCCGGGAATCGAACCCGGGCCGCCCGCGTGGCAGGCGACCGGGAATCAACACGCGCCCCCGCGTGCAGGCAAGCATTCTACCACTGAACCACCGATGCTCCGTCTCTTTTCCGACAGGTCCGCCCGCAATAGGAAGGGGGGGTTCCCTTCTTTAAAAGAAGGGCATGCATCGGCCGGAATCGAACCCGGGCCGCCCGCGTGGCAGGCGAGCATTCTACCACTGAACCACCGATGCTCCGTCTCTTTCCGACAGGTCGCCCCCGCAATAGGAAGGGGGGGTTTCCTTCTTAAAAGAAAGGCATGCATCGGCCGGGAATCGAACCCGGCCGCCGCGTGGCAGGCGAGCATTGCTACCCTCTGAACCACCATGCTCCGTTCTTCTTTTCAGACAGTCCGCCCCGCAATAAGGAAGGGGGGGGTTCCTTCTTTAAAAGAAGGGCATGCATCGGCCGGGAATCGAACCCCGCGCCCGCGTGGCAGGCGAGCATTCTACCACTGAACCACCGATTGCTCCGTCTCTTTTCCGACAGGTCCGCCCCCGCAATGAAAGGGGGTTCCTTCTT